TTTGGTTCCCACGCCCTGGCTGCCCATGTAGACGCAGCAGCGGTTTGGAGCTYTGCAGCAGCAGCAGCTCCGCTGGTTCACACGCTGCCATCCTCAAGGTCCTGCATGGAGGCAACGCTGACGTTACGCATTGCAGCTTGGCACCCCTTTGCAGCGGAATTGCTGCGTGGGGTCAGAGAAGATCGGTGGCTTGCGCTCTGTGGTTTGCATGGGAAGCCGTGCATCATCCTGGATGTCCTCTCGCCGCTGCCGGGGGCTGAGGTCAGGTGGAAGGGCGGAGGCACAAAACCATGGGCTGCTTCCTCTCCGGGATGACTTCTCCGRGGCAGCCAAGGGTGGGAGAGCAGAGGCTAAATCACGCTTCAGGAATTCTGAGGGAGAAGCATCAAAATGGCCCACAACAACTTCCAGAGGGAATAACCGTATGTGGTAGGAATTTCTGCAGCTGACCCAGCTGTGGTAGGAAAATAATGTCGTCTTGTCAGCCATCTAAACGCGGGGGATTTTAAGCCCGTCCTTACAGGGGTTGCAAGTAAGCGGGTGTCYGAGTGGGATGAAAGCCCTCGCCGCGTGCTCAGCGAGGGGCACTGCGGGAATGTGCCGCCCGAGGCGCTGCCAGCAGATATCCCGCAGGATATCCCGTTATCCAGCCTAAGGCCTCCGCATCGCGAGCTGGGGCGCCGCACAGTCGGACCGGGGCGGCCCGCGCACACGGAGCGGGAGCTGCTGCTGCTGTGGGGCTGCCTCAAAGGAGATCTGCCTGCAGGGCCGTCCTGCCCCACTTTACTTGCACCATTATTCGGGGGCTGCTGATCCCCATTGGAATAACGCTTTYCAAACAACCATGATCCACAAGCTGTTTGGTCGGCCTAATGGAAGGCTAGCAGGCTTTGTCCCGGGTCTGGGTACTGGAATGAGGGTGGAAAGTGGATCCTCGGATTATTAAGGATGAAAGTAACAGCAATAAAAGCAGAAGGAGGTGCACAACTAGAAGGGGGCAGTAGTGTGAGTTACAGCCATGTTGTGGCACAGCTCCGTAGTGGAGAAATGGCACGGAAAGCTGCCTCTGCCTGTCATGGAAAAGAGGAGGCAGCGGCCGGCAGCTGCTGTTGTGTTTGTCGGGCTTTGCTTCCTCCAGCAGCACCTTCTGATGAGATGCTCACCCCAGCTTTGGGGGCAGAGCTGTTTGTTGATCGGGCAGTGAGCCAGAGCAAGGAGTCAGATGGAGATAAACAGCCCCACTTCTTGGGGAAGGGGCAGAGGGGTGGGCAGGAGGTGGAGGTCTTGTCCTCTTCAATAGCAGCTCTGCTCTGGTTTGCTGTGTGGTCTGGAGACAGTGGAAGCATCAGCAGAGAGGGAGGAGGGCATTAGCTTAAGATGGACCTACGGGGAATCTAAATACTTGCTGAGTAACCTCCTCAGGAAATCAGGAGGTTTAATGGCCGTCGGCACTTCTTGGGGTTAGTGAGTTGCTCTGCACCGGCTCACCTGACATTTTCGTAAGTGAAAGGAGAGAACTTTAAGCTGGACGCAGAATTGGTTGGACAGCAGTATATGGAATAAAGGCTGTTTGCACAATTGGTTGGACAGCGGTTGGATCAACGGTTTGCATTTGGCCTGAGAGGATGTGTTGAGCAGGGTGGGATAGTGAGTTTGTAGGAGTGGGTCTGATACTGCTCAGGATTTTCAGCAATTTGATTTAAATGAGAGAATAATATGTTTAAACTGGCTAATTTTTAAGTGGCAAGGAGGACACCATTGGGACTCACAATACTCTTTAGAATCTGGTGAAAGAAAATAAACGAATGCAGAAGGTTCTGCATTTTGGCAGGTCTCGTCAGCAGCGTGTTCAGCATGGAGGGTGACTGGCTGGACAGCGACTCCACAGAAGAGCCCTGGCCTTTTGTGAGCCAAACACAAGTGAACAGCGTTAGACATTTCACACACACACACACACACACACACACACACACACAAAAGGCAAACAGCCGGGCCACACTGGGATGTATAACTGGGAAGTGTTACAAAATAGTCTATTCAGCCCCATTAAAAGCAGATGCCGTCTAGGCTGTCCAGTTTTAGACACTGCACTTGAAGAAAAATGTGGATCAATTGGAAGGAGTCCAGAAGGAAGCAATAAGTGATCAAAGGTTTGTGAAACTTTATCTGCAAGGGAAGGTGGAAATCAGTGAAGTTGGTCATTTTAGAGAGCAGAAGATGCTAAGAAAACTGGAAGTTACAATAGTTACATACGCATAGATACCAAGAAGACAGTAAGTTGTTGTCAGGTAAGGCAAGGGAGGAAGGGAAGTGTAGGTTAGTCGTCCAGAAAGGCTTTCAAATCTTAAGGAAATTTCTCTGGGGACATAGTCAGGCATTTGTCATTAGAGGTCTTCAAGAACAGGTTAGACAAGCTCCTGTCAAGAGCAGTTTAATATATTTTATCCAGTCTGAGCAGTCAGGATTCAGTTGCTTGGAGTCTCTTCGTCTCCTGTTTCCGTTGCTGTGAGTTCTGTGGCCGGCACCGAGGGCTGTGGATCTGAGTCCCAGCGGCCGGGGCCCTGCGCCTGCCTCTGTGCTCTGAGCTGCCGCTTGCTCCTGTCAGCACCGCTTCCCATCCCAGGTGGGCCGGAGCACCTGGCCCGGCCCAAAAGAGTTTGGTCAATATGGGTCGTTTTGAGGGAAATGGAGAGAGCAGCCCAGGCGGCGAGGCCTCGTGCCAGGTAGTATTCCACAGGGATGAGCACCACGGTGGGAGACAGCGGTGAACGTGTGGTCCGTGCCACGACGCTCCTCACAGAGTTAGCTCAGGGTCCAAAGCAGGCAGTGTCCGGGCCTGCCGCTCTGTACGGCTCCAGCTCGCTTCCTTGGGTGCATTTCTCCCCCCCATTTTCTATAATAAAGTCAATGAAGTTGTTCCTTGATGGCGGAGGGGAGCAGCGGAGGCTTTGAGCCCTCTTGACATTTTCAGAGGGCATCCTCTGTCGTGCTGCCAGGCTGGAGGGCCACAAACCAGAGCTTGTTTCCAGGGGATGGGCCAGGAGAGAGTGAAGCTGCAGCAAAGCTGCAAGGCGACAGTTGCAAAAAACAGCCTGAACCCCTCCGGACTTGCCATGGGGTCATTTTTTTGGTTTGCATGGGGAAATCTGTTCTTCTTGCTTGGTGCCTCCRCAGTCAAGATTTTTCCTGGGCTACCTGTGAAATGGGCTGAGCTGCCGCAGTTGCCATTCCTGCCCATTTGTTGTGGTCAGGAAAATGTCACTGAAAGTTCATGCGGTCCCTGCGCCGGCGGCAGATGCCTGGAGGACGGGGAGAGCGAGGAATTAGTGCAGTGCCTGCACATTCCAGCGGCAGCGAGGTTTCCGAGCGCCAGATCCAGCCTGCTTTGCTTGTAAAAACCCTAGGAGGATTTTTATATTGATTTTTATATCACACGGTACCATTGCCCACAAGTACCTGAGCATTAAGTCATTTTAATTGCTCTTTTCTGTGATGTGCATGCGGTGACAGGCAAGTTAAAGTGCCACTCYATGCATACTGAAAAGCAGTCAGTGTGGCCTGAAAACAGCATTTCCCAGTGTGATTTCAGACTGGCCAGGAATTGATGTTTCAGCCACTGTTTTTTAAATATATCTACTATTCTTTTCAGTTATTGCAAAATGAGACCTTTTGGTTTATCCCAATCTGTGCAGTCCCCTTTGCCAGTTTGCCTAACTTTCTCTGCTGGTTTCTCAATAACCAGATAATATGAAACTATCTTTAATCTGAACAAGAACGATTTGCCCCGTCACGGTAGGGATTTGTATCCTCGCTCACTGAGGCTGTTTCTCCATTTAGTTCAGTTATTCCGTAAATTATTCATAATTTATTTCTGTAGTCTGAATCCCATCTGGCTGCACAAGTTAAGTTTTCTGACCTCAGAAGACTCGCAACTTGTCTGTAAGCTGAAGTTTTTTAATGTGGTTATTTAAAAGCTCCATTGGGCAGTCTCAAATAGGAGTATTTCAGAAACTCAAAAGAAGAGTTATGTTCCCTTTGGCCAGCTGTGTGTATAAACCAAGCTCCAGTTGTTTTAGGAAAAAAGCTGCTTGTGGATTTGGGGAAGCTGGGAAACTGGTGGCAGTTGTTAGTACCGAGGCAGAAGTGGTGTCACCTCTTCTTTTTCCAGTTTTACCGTGGGACGTGAGTCTGGGTGTCCCACAGGAGCCAGGCTGAGTGAGAGATTCCTCCAGGGTTAGTGTGGTCCTGGACAGCAGAGGATCAGGTTCTTATAACACGATCCATTTGGCTGTGTTTGCRTACGGGGCTGAAGAGGGAGAGGTTTGTCATGTAGAGAGCTGCTGTTAATTCCCCCAGTCTTGCTTATCTGTCAGCAAACAGATGTCCTTTCCTGTCCCAGTGTTCCTGTTCTCATGACAGTCTCTCTCTTGCATGTAGGAGCAATGTACATGTCCCGCCGCGGAGCTGCTGAATTTCTAAAGCAGCCCATGCGTGTACGCAGAACACAGGTGCACATTAATGCAGAGCTTGCAGCTTCCTGTGACATTACATGGTTCCCAAGCAGATTTACAGTTCAGGAGGATCCTCTCCCATCCTTCCAGACRCTTCACTTACCCTCTGCAGGGTTTCAGGGCTAATCACTTGGGGGTCCCGGATGGAGCCTTCAGCTCCATTGCTGAAGCTTGTACAAGGCGCTTGTTGGAGGCTATTTTTGATTCATGTTCTTGGGCCCTGTTTTGTGAACAGGGATCAGTGCATCTGGCAATGCAGCCCCTATTATTCTTCCCAGCAGCCCGCAACAAGTCCAGGTCAGCTCCTGTGGCTCCTGTGTGGTAAAATGGAGTGTGGTGATTCCCATTGCTTTGTACCAGCTGGAGAGTCAAGCCGTGTGTTGGCAGATGCAGAAGGAAGTTGCTGCAGTGCATGTRTTGGCCTGAGGGAACATGCAGTGCAAGAGCCTAACCAGCCTAATTCGCTCTCCCAATATTTTCTCTCAACAGCTCTGAAAAGTCCAGCTGCATTTCATGAGCAAAGAAGGAGTTTGGAGCGGGCCAGGGTAAGATACACTTTGCAATTTAAGACTCTGAAGAAGTCAGTAGGTGTAGTCCTTCCGTGGAGCATTGGGGATACCTGATCCCTGATACTCCTTTTCCCTGCCATCTTTGCGCGCTCATTTTTATGGTGTGTTTTGCCCTTAAGTGCTCCTGCTGTGTGAATGCCACTGAAGAGGGTGATTTCCAGCTTTGAGCCAAGTGTGTAATTTCTGTGTTACAAACACATACTGTTGTTTATCTAGGACACTGGAAATGGAAGGCTTACTAGAGAAGATCCCCAAAATCTTGTGAAACACTGAAAGCTCAGAGACTCCTGGCTCTTGAGAAAGAGGAAGCCAGGCCTGAAATAGGAGGCACACTCATGCTGCACCTTCGTCTCAAACTGGGGGTTTCTTGATGATTTCTGTTCCTCAAAATGCCTCTGGGGATAGTGTTTTTTTTCTGACTAGTCTACAGAGAAATAATACCCATTACAGCTGTTTGACTAAGTTTGGTTTTAAAAATGAAAATAATGTAAAACTAAAGATACAACAGCTGTAAATGAAACCTGTCAGGCAGGGTGAGCCCTTTAAATTCTGCAGGACTGCAGTGATGCAGTTTGCATAAAGAGCAGCATCCCAAAGGTTTTTGTTTGTTTCTTCTCTGTTCTTCTCTAACTTCCTCATGAAAGAATATTGAGCATGAATGGCATGTGTTTTTGATAGCCTTTAATATTTATTTTCCCTAAGGATCCGTTCCGATGGCTAAGTAGCYGTCATTACTTGCTCAGTCAGTCCCCCACTACTGCCAGATGCCACTCCTGAGAGGGGTAAATGACAACGTGATCAGCTCAGACAGCATCACCCAAAGGATTCCCCAGAGAGGGAGCAAAAAGCAACTCTTTAGCCTGGAAAGCTCTTTAGTTTTGAAAGTGTTTAGATTCTCCCCAACGTGGAGTCTTTAAGCTTAACAAAACACGTGCCTTTAAACAAATAGAGGAATAAGGCCCAAACCACACGTGAGCCCTGATTGCTGGCGGTGTGTATGAGGATTCCTGTACCTAATGGAACCAATGCATATATCTGTAACATAAAGAGTAAAATCTTGAATGTCACCCTGACACAAGCTGTGTAAAGGGAAAATCAGGGAACTTCTCTTGCAGAAATCTGTTTCTGCTTGTGTTCWCCAGGGTCGGTGGGGCACTCTTACACTGAGGGGATGGGCAGTAGAAGACTGTCTTTAAAGAAAAATGATTCTGTTGGTTCTCTGGCACAGAAGATATCTCCCATTTCTGTTCAGTGCTTGTTTGGATCTTTGTGATAACTAAAAGTGGTTGTTTCTCTTGCTTGTGCTACCCTAAATTACCTCACTCCTGTGTCTGATCCACTGAAATTGGTTCTTGTCTGATTTTGTTGCAGACAGAGGACTATTTGAAACGGAAAATCCGGTCCCGGCCAGAGAGATCAGAGCTGGTTAGGATGCACATTCTGGAAGGTATAGCACACACTCAACAGGAAGGCATCAACAATAAGTTTGTTATAGCTCCTTTAAWAGCTTTGTATTTTGCCTTACACCCCCAGATTGTTTCTTTCAGTTAGGAGTGGGCAGAAGGTCATATCTGCTGCATGGTTTCTTGGGAAGGATTCATCTCCTTGCATGCTTTTTTTTTAGATTTTCTGAGGAATTTGTCAAGTAAACTCAAATTCTGCAACTGTTTTGTGCAGCTGAGCAACTATAAAATGAAATGAGTGTGGATTGGTCTTCTGGTGGGACACCCTAAAGTGTTCAAATGGGAGTGAGGAAGATGAGATCTAGTGAATACACCCCTCGGTTTCAGAGAGGAGGTGCTCTGCTTCTGCTGAGTACCACATCTTTGGACACAACTGAAGGGAAGAAGATGAGTGAGAAACAATAACATCAATTAACCTGTGCCACGTGCTCTAGGTGATCCTGCATGTGCAGGTGTGCAGAGGGGTTGGACTCGATGACCTCTGAGGTCCCTTCCAACCTTGGGCATTCTATGATTCTATGATTCTATGATTTAAATGCAGTGAATTTGGCCTTTCCTAGAGTCATGAGATCTATTATAGTTATACGTAATATCTGTAAGATATGTAAAATATTTTTATATTTTATAGTTAGCTACTGTTCTCTACAGGGATTTTTTCTGTGCAGATATCTACAGTTACCGTTCTGAATAGAAGTGAAATACTGCTGTAGTGCAGAGGTTGACCATTGCTGGACTGATGCCATTTTCTCCTTTCCCCGAGCAGAGACCTCAGCTGAACCCTCCTTGCAGGCTAAGCAGCTGAAGCTCAAGAGAGCCAGGCTGGCTGATGACCTCAATGAGAAGATAGCGCAGAGGCCAGGTCCCATGGAGCTCGTGGAGAAGAACATCTTGCCTGTGGAGTCAAGCTTGAAGGAAGCCATTATAGGTAAGGCCACAGGAGGACTGATTTTTGAGAGCATGTCCCATAGGTGGCTGTGATTTTTTTTTTGAATTCAGCTTCCTGTCTGGGGGAATACAATCCCCTGGTCAGTCCTATTTTCTGGTCTGAGAATCCGACCCTTTCAACTCCAAGGATTCAAAAAACAGAACTCCTGGCTCAGATAATAGCACAAAGACACTAAATGATAAGTACTGTGAACATCTCAGAATAGCATGAAACCAATCCCAGACTCTCAAGACTTGCAGGAGTTCGTGGATCACATTCCCTGAATTCCCTTAAAAATCTCTCTGTGTGTAACACATCAGCAACCTTGGTCAGGGAGAACCAGCTGACACCCGGAGCAGAGAGACAGGATGGAAGCAGGTGTGGTGAAACAAAAGCTGTCTGTGGACTAACAATCTTCAGAGGATTCAGCCCCTTTAAAAATAAACCAGAACAGATGGAAATCATGCCAGTGCCATTCCAAGGGCTGAAAGGAATGCCTTCCCACTGCCCGAACAGTKAGTGCTCTTTCCCGTCTCCCCAGGTTGAGCAGCCTGGGCTTCAAATGCAGGCAGCTCCTTCGGAGGCAAATGTGCACCAGTGTGAGCAAAGCTGCAGGGAAGGGGTARCCCCCCAGAAATAGCTGGGGGAGAGTGAACTGAACTCGTGAACTGGGACACTGGAGGTGCAGCATCTTTGACTTAAAGTGTGTCAGTTYTTGGTGCATTTCTGTCACTCCGCTGTTAGGTAGGAATGAGAGTATTTTCCTGCTTGCCAGGATTTGAGATAATTTGTTGCTTGTGGGACTTGTAGATAGACAGAAATGCCAATAGCCACCAAGGCCACAACTTCAGACTCAGTCCATAGCCCTTGTTGCTTACAAGCTTTAAGTTCTTGATTTGGACAGGTCTTAGTACTTTGTGTTGTACTTTTGACCTTCCTGCTGAGAGACTAGGGAAGTGCTTCACTCTGGTCTGCATCGTAACATTATTTTTATTCCACCGGTAGCTTCAGTCTGGGCTTTATTCTCCCATTTTAACTTGGTACTTTAAGCACAGCACAGACATTTAGCTCTCCTTTCCTTCGTTGTCTTTGGGAGATATTTAGCATCAAGTGAAATAATCTTTTACTCTGCGTCGAAGCCCACAGCTGGTGTTTGTGTTTGCAGTGGGACAGGTGAACTACCCAAAGGTTGCAGACAACTCCTCTTTYGATGAGGACAGCAGTGATGCCCTCTCCCCAGAACAGCCGGCCAGCCATGAGTCCCAGGGCTCCGTCCCGTCGCCAATGGACTCCCGGATTTGCGAGCCTCTCCCTGGCACCACGGGCCCGTCGCTAGCTCAGGTGAGACTGCAGTTGGCTGCTGCAGCGTCCGGCAGCTTTGCAACTACTGCTGAGTTCAGAAGCGAGGCCAAGAGATCCTTGAAACGTCCCTGCTGAGGAGCAGTTTGGGCGGCTTCGTCGGGGTCTCGGCTCTGTGTGGTGGCAGTGAAGCCCTCTGTTCACAAGCCTGAGGYGGAGACGTGAGGACGAGGGGAGGAAAGTGGTTACAGGTGACGTGGCCTCCGTGTGACTGATTCTGGTGGGCAAAGGTGAAAGATGCAGGTGTGAAATCCTGAGTCGTTTCTGCCCTAAGTATTTGTGCTCCTTCTTGGGGACAACTGGAGTGGAGGGTGCAGGAATCCCAACTAACGACCTGTAGCCTSCGCTCGTTTGGGGGACACGTCTTGCCACTCTGTTAGTGCATTTCTCTTCTCATCAGTGTGTCCCTCCTGCCCTTCTCTCTTCCCACAGGGTACGTCCCAGTTGCAGCTCGGTGCAGACTCCAGTGAACCGCTTTTCCTGCCCGAGCAGCCCCCGCCGCCTCTGCCGCCGCCGCCCCTGCTGCTTCCTAACCTCACCAACGGAGCRGTTCTTCCTGCTGCCAAGCCCCCCCCAACACTCATTAAGGTACTGGCTGCACTCCTCTCCTTGCTGCAGTCTGACAGAAACTAAGGTGGTTGCTTCAAGGAAGGATTGGGGTTGGAGGTATTATCTTAAAGGATGCTAAGGAGGAAGGCCTCTTGCTCTCTAGTGTCTTCCTCTGTCACTGCTTGCGATGTGTTTAATAGATGCTTCAGGTCCAAGATCTGTTCACCTGCTATAAAAAGGCCCCACATACAAAATCTTCTGAAACAGTCGAGTCAGCAGTGTCAGTAGTTACAGATGAGGAGTCTACACTGAATGGACAAGGGGTCGGGTGTACTGGGAAAGATGAATGGTCTTCTGTTGGTTACCTGCCTTCTGGTGCTATGTAAGCTGTTGTGGATGCATTGCCAAAGTTAGAGAAACATGGAAAGACCCTGAGGTTAAATGTGGAGAATTTTGAAATAAAAATCCCAACTTTCTGGCTTACCTGGGGTGCTGTGTTAGTCAAGTGTTTCCATTCTTATTTGCTTCCTTCTTTTGTCCTGAACAGCAAAGCCAGCCCAAGTCTGCAAGCGAGAAGTCCCAGCGCAGTAAAAAAGCCAAGGAATTAAAGCCGAAAGTCAAGAAGCTGAAATATCACCAGTATATCCCCCCGGACCAAAAGCAGGACAAAGGAGCTCCCCCCATGGATTCATCCTATGCCAAAATACTGCAGCAGCAGCAGCTCTTTCTCCAGCTTCAGATCCTCAAYCAGCAGCAGCAGCAGCACTACAACTATCAGACCATCCTGCCAGCCCCCCCAAAGTACGGGTCGTGTTTGCCACGTGTCTGCTTTGGGAGGCGCTTGTGTCCCTCAGCCCTGTCAGCTCTGCTGATGGCAGGAGCCCCAGCTCTTAGGAAGGACCAGTCCTGTTATCAGGGCATCATGTTCTGCTCGTGCCGGGGGGGAATTGGGTGCAGTCGTGTTGGGTTATGGGGCCCTCAAGAACAACCGGGGTCAGGTGAATCGAGCAGTGCAGCTCACATGAGTTGGTGGATGGAGTGAGGGGCAGTGGCGACAGTCAGAGGCGCTGGCGTGTCCGAGTGTCTTTGTGTCCACATGTCTTGCCCCAGCTGTGATGCCTGTGCTCTGTGTTGCCCCGCAGGCCCCTGGGCGAGCAGCAGAGCGGCGCCAGCGGCGCGGCCGCGCGCGGGCTCTCGGCCGCCGTCGGCAGCGCGTCCTCGGCATCGCCCGCGTCCGGCGCGCTGCTGCGGCAGAGCGGCGCCGCGCCTGCGGGCAAGCCCGGCCCGCTCCCGGCCAACCTCGACGAGATGAAGGTAAATACTGGAGGAGGGCGGCGCAGGGGAATGGAGTGGAGGCTGCAGAGCAGGGCTGAGAGGGACTGGCAGGAATTTGGGGTGATGGCCGGCGTTGCTACCCCACAGGGCGAGCCTGAGAGGCAGGGCCGTAGCCCTGCGAGGTTCAGTTTAGTCCTTGGCCTCATGGGTGTGTAAGTTGTTAATGGCTGGTGTGGTTGATTCTGGTCGTTGTCAGTAGCTGCTGTGGTTAGAGCGTGTGTTCTCTTGATGTTACCGTCTCCTTTTCCCYTGGTCAGGTGGCCGAGCTGAAGCAAGAGCTGAAGCTGAGGGCCTTGCCTGTGTCGGGCACGAAGACGGACCTGATCGAGCGTCTCCGAGCCTACCAAGAGCAGAACGGCGCGGGYGGCCCGGCAGCCCCCAATCCCAAGCCCAGCACGGCAGCCATTCTCCCCAAAGCTGCCGAGGTGGTGGTGGCCTTCCCGGCGGCCAGGCTGAGCACGGGGCCGGCCCTCGTCACCGCCGGCATTGCCCCTGCGGAGGTGGTGGTGGCCACAGTCACGAGCGGTGGCGTCATGAAGTTTGGCAGCACAGGCTCAACCCCGCCCGTTTCTCCCACCCCTTCCGAGCGCTCGCAGATCAGCACAGGGGATGAGAACTCGGCCACTGGAGACACCTTTGGGGAGATGGTGACTTCGCCGCTGACCCAGCTCACCCTGCAGGCGTCTCCAGTGCAGTTCGTGGTGAAGGAGGAGAGCTCCAAGGCCGCCTCCTGCAGTGTGAGCGCGGCGCCCAGGTCGGAGCGGAGCAGCACCGGCAGCAGCAGAGACGCCGACGCTCGGGACAAAGACCAGATGCTGCAGGAGAAGGACAAGCAGATCGAGGAACTCACGCGCATGCTGAAGCAGAAGCAGCAGCTCGTGGAGATGCTGAGGCTCCAGCTGGAGCAGGAGAAGCGCTTGCAGCAGTCGCTAGCGGCCCTGGCCGCTGCGGCAGAAGGAGCAGCCCTGCCCTCCACCCCGGCAGCATTCGGCGTCCGGGTCAAGAGCGAAAACAGTTTCCTAAGTTGCCAGTCTGCAAAGCAATCCAATGGCCAAACAGAGCAATTCAGCCCTGCCCCAACTGCGAGCCAAATGGACGCTTCGGATCCGAGCGCAGTGCTAAAGCAAGCCGTGCTGGTGAAGCAGGAGGTGCCCGCCACGGAAGCGGATCCGAGCGCAGTCCTAAAGCAAGCCGTGCTGGTGAAGCAGGAGGCGCCCGCCATGGAAGCGGAGCCGAGCGCAGTGCCAAAGAAAGCCGTGCTGGTGAAGCAGGAGGTGCCCGCCGCGGAAGCGGAGCCGCCGCGCCAGCCCCAGCCCCACAGCCCGCGGCTCTTCCTTGGCCAGCAAGGGAGCAGCACCCTGAGCGACCTCATCAAGGGCACCCCTCCGCCCACCCTCATCAGCGACTCCACAGGGACCCACATCGTCCTCACCGTGACCAAGCAGGGCAGCGAGAGGCAGGGCCTCTCGCCCCACGGGAAGGCGCTCGGGGGCTGCCCAGCCTTGCAGGTGAGCGAGCGCCGGGGCCGCCTCCCGCCCCGGGCAGCCCGGGGCTCCTCTTCCATCCTCCCCCTCGCCCCTCGGAGGGTGACTGCACACGTGGGAAATTCGGTGCAATAAACTGTAAAAGACAAAAAGAAAAACTAGGTCTCTTGCTGCGGGGGCTGATAACTTTGTAAAACAGAGCAGTGTAAGGAAAATTTCAGCAAAAAGASTGGAGTTTGGCACTGCTGAGCCCCATGCAGCAGTGCCGGATTGGCCTTGTGCATCACAGACTGTCAGCTTTCCTCCAGACGTTTGGCTCTGCCTTTTTCAGSCTGGATCTGGGCTCGGTGCACTAGTGTTTGCTGCCGCATCTCACTCCAGCTTTCAAAAGCGTGTTGCACCTCTTGTTCTTTAATGGAAAGACTGGAGCTGGAGTACTAGGTTGTCTTGTCTGTTGGGAGCTGAAAGCAGACCACGGGGGCAGCCTCTTTGCTTTCTGAATGCTCCTTGCTTTAGTGCCTGTCATTCTCTAAGTGTTGGCAGAGTCTTTTCTAAGCGGCGATCGACTATTCCCCTCTTGGCCTGAATTCAGCACTTAACAGAAGTGTTCTGAGTGTTTCTTCCAGGAAGAGATAAATATGCCCAGGCTTTATGACCTAAGTCAAATCTCAGCATCTTCTGTGGTGTCAGGAGAGATTTCTGTTGTCTACTGCCACATTCCCTGCACCTTCTGCCGAGCGGTTGGCAGTGCCCTTGGTTGGRCGCTGAGCAGGCTGTGTTTGCTGTGTGTCAGGTGAGATGAGAGCCAGATGTCAAACATGGGCCTCCTGTGCCACCCTTGACACCCCAGGGGATCTGCGTGTGCTCTAGCTCCTGCTCCCGAAGAGTGCAAGGCAGGCAGAGGTCGCGGGTCACATCTCATGGCCGCAGGGCCACAGCTCATTCAGCAGGGCTCAGAGGTCCTGCTTAGTCTAGGGGTTGAGAGTGGTGCRACTGCCTCGTTYGGGCCACTGACTCCCACCCCAGTCRGATTTTTCCGGTCGGTGAAGAACAACTGACTGACTGACCAACTGATGAACTAAAGAATAATTGGGAAGGAATTAATATTAGGAAGGAAAGAATAATTCAGGAAGAAGAGATTTCCTCAATCGCGTAAGAAAGCAAAGCCTCGCTCCGTGCTGCGTGCGCGCAGCCGCTTCTCACGGCCACCCTTTCCTTTGCAGAGAGTACAATCGCGCCCGTCGCCCGCGAAGGCCTGCAGCCCCGCGCCGGGCGAGCCGCGCGCCGGCAGCCCGCCGCCGCCGCCGCCAGGACTGCCCCAGGCTGTGGGAAAGGTACCGGCCACCTGCGCGCGTTGCTCCCTTCTCTCCTTGGCCTGCTCTCGGGTTCGTGGTGGTGGGAGTGCAGGCCAGAGACCTTGCAGCCAAGAGAGCTCACGGCTGTTGTGCCACAGCTGGCAGTGGTGTGGGGCGTCTGTGTTCAAGCTTCAGTGTGGCAGCAGAGCGGCTACCTGGCGCACGTTCTCCGTTCCTCTGAGTCCTGCTAAACTAGCTGTGCCCACTGCCAGCGTCTCAGCTTCCAGGTGTTGCTCATGGGGGTGTGAGGGTTGTACAGCAGAGGCCTGGGCTAAGCCCTAGCAATTTCCTGCATTATGTCCCACACTGGACAGAAGAGCAGCTGGTGTTTGCAGCAGGCRTTTTCCATCAGTTGCAAATGAGGAGAGGCCAGAATGGGCGACTTGGGTTTGCAGCAGTGTGCCGTATTCGTGGAGTGTTGCTGCTTAAATTGCAAGGTGCTTAGTGTGTGCAGAGAGCTTACCGGSGCTAGCGTGGGCAGTGTGCGGGATACGAGCACTGAAGGGGCAAAAGGATGTGGCCTTTTAGTGACTGGTCCTGCTGCGCTTTGCTCAAATAGCGCGTCCTGTGCCTGAAACATACCTGCTAATGATGCCTCTGTGAAGKGCAAAGGAGATTTGAGGAGGAGAGCGCCTCCAGCTTTACCCCTTCTCCAGGGGCCGTCTATAAGATGCTTGTGCTGCTCCCTCCGTTCTAGCCCTGCTCAGGGATATCTAACAGGCAGTCAGGACAAGACACGGAAGGATTCTGAAGAGTTTCTAGACCTTGGAGGATCGCTTTGGAGTCAGATCCTGAAGCAAACATGAAGGCAGTAGTTGCTTGTGGCTTGGTCAGGGTGTTGTGTCCTGTCAGAGAGGCACAGTGCGAAGGGGCCAAAGTGCTTTGGTCCCTTGGAGACCTCTGCTGCAAGGCAGAGGTGAACAGAGGCATCCTCTCCCACAGGCTCCTGTGGCCGGTGGCGGTTGGGGCCTGACTGCAGCTCCTGGGCTGTGGAGGCAGCTGTAGTGACTCTCCTAATCCTTTTGCCTCCCATAGGGTCAGAAGCTAGGCCTGCAGGTGGCCACGGGGCAGCTGCCCCACACCATATTGTCTTTCTCAGCACCTCCAAACCTRCAGCCCTTCTTCCTCAACGGGTTCCACAAAGGGTCCCTGAAAACTGGTGCTCCTGGCCAAGCTGGCCCACACAGAATACCCAAAAAGGTGCCCTCCCAGCAGCTCCCAGTGACCTGGGACACTCACAGTGCCCCTTGCCAGCCCCCCTCCAGCAGAGCAGCCCTGCAGGGACCTGGGGTCACTCCTGTACACCCAGRTCAAAGAAACGATGAAAAAGTTTTCCAGGGAAAATGGGACGGGGAGGAGCAGCAACAGGCACAAGTGGTGGGGCTGATGTGCAGGACCCGTTGCTTGGAGGGAGCCAGCAGAGGCCAAGGCCTGACTCGTGTGTCGGTGTTTCCTCTGGGCAGTTGCTCGCTGACTCACTGGTGAAGCTGAGTCACTGGCGCCACTTCCTGCAACATTTGGGGTTTCCTTTGGAGAGCTCCAGTGCTTCTGAGTGCTCTGGTGCTCCCCGCTGGGGCATTTGCTGCCAGTGAAGCCCGTCCCCGAAGCAGCCACTGGTGCCAGCGGGGCCTGAGGACAGACAGATTCTGGCCCGTGCAGCGCGGAGCAGGGTGAAGGCCCTGTGGGAAATGCCTGTCTTTCTCCAGAGTGTTGGAGGAACCTSCCACGTGGACAGACCAGGCTCCCTGGTGGTGATTTTGGCCGAGATTTGAGCGGTGCTTTGGAGGGGAGGTCCGTGTTGCCGTGAGCGCGCGGGTTAGCGGCTGCGGGAGTGGAGCTGCAGGGCCCCTACTTGCCCGGACASCGCTGCTCTCAAAGTGCTTCCAAAGCAGGGAGCTCCTCTGGCCTTTCCCCATCTCACTCCTGCTGCCTTTTTGTCCCAGCAGCCCTCGTCACAGCCCGGCTCTCCTGCTGCCCCTTCCCCATCCCAGATGGACCTGGAGCAACAGCAGCACCCGTCGCTTTTTGGAACTCCTCCACCTCCTCTCCCTGTGCCCCCGGTCCCGAAGAAAGAGCCACCAGGCTACGAAGAGGCAATGAAGCAACAGCCAAAAGCCCAGGAGGTGAGAGCCCTTCYCTCCCCAGCCTGCCTCGGGGAGCATGTGAAAAGATGCTGCTGTAAATCCACTCAAATTTCCAGTCTGAGCAAGCAAGAGGAATCAGAAACCAAACAGGTCCTTTCTAATTGAGCCTTCCCATTCAGATTCCTTCTGGAGGGTATGGGGAGGAGCCCAAACCACAGGTAGAGATCCCAAACCATGCCCTTCCAGAGGAGTGGTCCTGTCATGGGTGCTAAATCTGCCTCCCTAGAGCCCCGGGGTTATGCTGGAGTCTGGTGCCAGGCCTGGGTGTGTTTGTCTTTGCTGGGTGTGACCCATCCTTGGGGCGAGGGAGGAGAGCCGAAGCTGGAAGCCCATCCTGTGCTCTCTTCCCAGGAGAACGGCTGTTCCAGCCAGCAGATGGACGACCTGTTTGACATCCTCATCGAAAGCGGGGGTAAGGAGGCGAGCCCCGCAGGGAGGCTGGCGCGGACCCTGAGGCGCGCGGAGCCCGAGGGCGCGGGCACTGGGTGAATGTGGCCCCGGCCCCTGCGCCCACCGGTGCCCTGGGCGCTGGTAGGCAGTCCTGGAGGCACAGAGGGGCACGGCCGYGGCTAGTACAACCCCCGGCTCTGGGCACATCTGCTCTTTGGTGGCTCTGGGCACGTCTCCTCTGTGGAGCGAGGAGAGCTGAAGCCCCTCAGTGCGCTGAAGGGCTTCCCCTGCCCCTGTGGGCTCAGCGAGGGGCCTGCCCATTGCCCCATTGCCGGGGCGGGCAGGAGGGCTCGTGCCTGCGATGGGCAGAGCTTTCCCTCACTGCGGCCCCGCGCTTGTTTCCCGTGCAGAGATTTCTGCTGACTTCAAGGATCAGTCATCGCCGGCTGGGAAAGAAGCCCCCGCGGCGCCGGCCGCCCCCTCGCCGCCCGGCAGCCTCCCTTCGRCAGAGCTGGCGGCGCCCGGCGCCCTGGCGCAGCCGGTGCTCGTGGGCCGCCTCGAGGACTTCCTGGAGAGCAGCACCGGCCTCCCGCTCTTGACCGCGGGCCACGACGGGCCGGAGCCCTTGTCCCTGATCGACGACCTCCACAGCGAGATGCTGAGCAGCTCGGCCATCCTGGACCACCCGCCTTCACCAATGGACACCTCGGAATTGCACTTTGCGCACGAGCCGGCCGGGGGCATAGCCCTGGACCTGGCCGAGGCCAACTTGGACAGCATGGACTGGCTGGAGCTGCCGGGGGGGCCCGTCATGAGCCTGGCTCCCCTCAGCACTGCCGCTCCCAGCCTCTTCTCCACAGACTTCCTTGATGGACATGATCTGCAGCTGCACTGGGATTCTTGCTTGTAACTCTGTGAGCAGAGACTGAAGGGATCGGGCRCGGGAGGGCACGTGGCGGGGTGCGGGGGAGAGGCCAGTCAACCAAAAAAAAACAAAAAAACAAAAAAACCTTCTAGTATTTGTACTCCTCCCTGCCCAGCAGCGGCCTCCCCTCCTGCGCAGGGCAAGGGCAAAGCGGCCACTAGAGCTGCCTGGGAGCCGGGGGCAGAGGCTGCGGGGGCCTCGGGGCTGGGATCTCCTGGCCTCGCTGCTGCTGGTCCGGGGAGCTGCGGGAGACGGGAGCCGCAGGACGGCCCGTGCGGGGCCTGTGCTCTGCTCCGGGGCCGCTGACGTGGTTCACGTCACAAGAGGGTTTTACCCCTGCAGTGGGGCCGGGCAGCAGGAGGGCCGAGGTCTGAGCTGGGCTGAGCGAGGCGCTAGGCAGAACGGGACCCTTGTCTCACTGTGGCCAAACCACGGCCCCGTTCCCCAACTGTGGTGATGCCTGAGCTGGTTTCCCAAATACTGCTGAGCTTGTCAGGGTCTGCCTGCTTGTGACACTTGCTTGGGCTGCAGAACACATTTTAAGGTGCTAAAATCGAGGTCCTTGTGTGTTAAATCTGTCTCTTGCTGCCTCAGACCTCTGTGCCGCTGGGCACTCTCCCCGTTGGCTTCCARCTTGTTCCCTGTCAGGTCACTGGGGCCAGGCTCCCCTGGGGCAGCCCAGCACAGGGCAGGGCCAAGGGGGGCCGCCGGCCTGCAGCTACAGCCAGGTAGGAAGCCGCAGGCCAAGGGCCAGAGCTGCCCACGAGCAACAAATCATTAGGGGCCACGTGCAGTTGGGGTCTGGCCTTCGGCCGTGCTGGTGCCCCCGCACCCAGCTGGGGTCCCGTTGGAGGGGAGCCCCTCCGTGCTCTGCCCTGAGCCGGAGAGCGACGGCGCTCGGGTGAAGGGCCTTGCTTGGCTGTGGGGAGGCCGCTGCGGGGAGGCCGGACCGGGCTCCGAGTGCCTGCGCCGACGCCAAAGGCAGCTGCCGGCCATTGGGTGGAGGCCGGTTGCGCCGCTTCCCCCATCAGCTACAAATTCCTCGTGTGCCTGTTTGTTGGTAGCAGCTCCCTGCAGTATTTACCAGCGAGCCCTGGCCTGGCTGCCGCCGCGGGACCTCCTCTTGGTGCAGCTRTCCCTGCTCGGGGGCTGACCCACCTTCGCGTCCTGTACTGCTGGAGATGGGGCAGTGCCGGGGAYGGGGGCACAGGAGGGGCTGGGCGAGGCCTGAGGGGACCTTTCCCCCTGGAGGGGACAGGGGCAAGAGGGGTGAACTAGAGCTAAATCAGCTCCTTCTAGCCCAAAGCCTGCAGCAGTCTCCACAGCAGCAGCTGTGTGAGCGTTTCATGCAAATAGGCAACCCCAAAGCAGTCACTAGCCATAGGGACTAAGCCCATGCGAGTGCAATGCTGCCGTGGAGGAGGGCACAGCTGACCCCCATGCCATCCTGCAGCGCTCGCGCTGGCTGCACAGCCCGTGCTGGCCGAGAGCTGCAGCCCCCGGTGCTGACTGCAGGATGAGCTCCCACCGCCGCTCCCTGCTCCTGTACCCCTCAGCTGAGCAACTTGTGGCAATTTGATTCAATAAATACACCCAGCACACTTGGAATTGGCCGATGGGCTGGAGGGCTTGCGAGGAGCAAAGCTAAGGTCTGCCCCAGCGCCCCTGACACGAGGCCTCTGCTATGGGAGCGGGTGACAGCCCTGGGCCCCGGCAGGTAACGTGGGGCCTCAGCCCAGGCGGGATGAGAGCCGGCTCCCTCACCCAGGGGCTCAGAGCYGCCCGGCCCAGCAGCAGCCCAGCCCCCGTCTCTGCTCTCCTACTATTATTTGTTTGAATAATAGTTCAATAGGTCTGTGTTGGAAGAGGTATTCCCCTGGACATACATTTTTTTTGCACCCCTTGGGAAAAAAAGAAAAGTCTGATGTTCTGCCTCTACCTTGAATGTAATCCTGAATCTTTCTGCTGTAACCACTACTTGTTTGTAATGTGTATTGACTAGCACGCACTCTCCCTTCCACTATGCAGCGAACGGCAACAGGTGAGCGGCACCGGCCGGGACGGACCGTGTCCGGGCAGTGGATCCAGAGCACGTATTCAACTGGAAAAGGACAAGAGGGACATGTTAAGGGGGGAGAGAATGGATCTTTAAATTGAATTATTTTTTCAGTTACAAATATTTGAAAAAAAAATCCATTTTATTAAAAAAATTTGAAACAGCCCTGCGCTTAAGGACTTCCCTTTGCGGGTGGGAGGCCTGAGGGAGGTGGATGTGGAAATCACCTACCCTGCCAAGGGGGCAGAAGTTGGCCTTAGGGTAGAAGCCAAGAGAGCTTTTAAAGGCCACCCCGTGCCTCGCTGTGCCCGTGCGCGGCAGCTGGAGGCCGCACTGCTGCGAAGGAAAACGCGCTGATTCTCACCTCAGCAAACGGGAGGCTATTCTCTTCTTGGAGCGCGTGAACACAGAGCGCCCTGGACACGTGCTCGGTCACTGCCCCCTTTGCAGCCTCCTGCAGCTCCTGCCCTCCCGCGTGGCGGCTGCCCCGCTGCCTCCCRGGCTCCGATGCACGGAGCTCCCTCTCTCCCTCAGCCGGGAGAGGCCTTGGGGCTCTGCTGCAGGCAGCTCTGCCGGCTCCGGGCCCCAGGGCGCCGCTCACCTCGGACACGACAGCAGCACCGGGAGTGACTGCAGCACGAGAACCGGCCCTGCTGAGGAACAAAGCCCAGACCCAGACGTCTCCCAAGACGCAGTTTATTTACAAACCCACAGAAGAAGGAAAAAAAAGAAGAAAGTAAGAATCTAGTGTCATTTCATGAGTAGTTTTGTGCTCACAGACAAGCGCTTTCAGTAGAAAGTCACAGACTCCGAATCCAGAGCCACCACCACAAAGCAGCAATTCTCTCTCCTGACCCGCTGCCCTGCGGCCGCCGCAGGGCAAGGACGAGTTAGTCTCCCTGAGCCAGCTCCAACCTGAACCCCATCCTGAGCTACAACAATGCCAAAATATACACATATTCCTAGAGTTAATTTACAGCTTTTTGGTTAACAGTAAAAATAATCTAGAGACTAAAATGACAGCATGAAACCCCCCCAACGGGGAGCGCTGGCTCTTGTCCGCTGCAGAGCCAGCCAGACCCATGCCCTGAGGCCGCTGCAGCAGGACGGGGCGCGCGCGGGCACCTCCCTCAGCAGCCCCCGCCTGCGCCGGGGAGGCGGCCGCTTTCCCCCTCTCTGCCCCAGCACAGAGCACCTTGTCGGAGGGCTCCAGGTGTTGCCTTCCCTTTCCTGAGCGAGGCCGTGCCCTCGGGGCTGCAGGCCCCCGCGGTGCCCCCTGCCCAGGGCAGCAGCGTTCCCAGCTCCAGGGGCAGCAGCGTTCCCAGCCCTGAGGGCGGCCGCCTCCCTGCGGCGCCCACGTTGGCACCCGCGCAGAGCTGCCAGCCGCCGCGTCCCTCGCACCCAGGGGAGGCAGCACAGAGGCAAACACAAGATCCAGGGGGGCGCAAGGCTGGGAGGGGGCGCTTGTTTCTGTGGCAAGAGCTCGTCCCTGCGCAGCATCAGCCTCAACCATCATCTCCCTCGGGCCTGCAGCGCGGCCCCTCGGCCCTGCTGCCCTTCGTCCCAGGTGGCGTGGCAGCCCCCAGGGGGGATTTGTCACAGATACAAGTGGGAGAGCAGGGGGGTGGGAAGGTGGGGGGGAAGTGGAGGAGGGCAAGGGAAGARCGAGTGCCTTTGAGAAGGGTCCCCAGGGCGGGGCAGGGTGCGGGTCACCCATCTATGTCCCAGCTGAAGAGATGGTGCTTCACCAGCATGTCCTGCACCCCTTCCTTCAGCGGCTTCTTCTCCTTCTCCTGCAGGACAACACAGAGAGCCAGGTCACCGAGCCCCCAGAGAAGAGTGTGAGCAGAGCCGGAGCACGCGGAGCAGAGGACCACGGAGCTCGGACGGAGCAGCCTCCCGCACTTCCACCTCGGGCAGCTGAAGCAGGGAGAGGCCCTGCGGTTTGGAGAGCCCCAGGGAGGGGATGGGAGGTGCCTGACATTTCCTCTGCCCTGGCAGGGCAGACACGGGCGGCGCTCGGCTGGGAAAGCAGCCCAGCCCACGGGGACATGGAGGTTGAGCAGGAGCACAATGAGGGGCTGCGAGGAGCCCAGACAGGGGGGCAAGAAAACACCAAGGACTCACCTCCCTCTTGACAGGCAGCTCCCAGTCCTGRGAGAGGCTGAAGGCGAACTTGCAGAGCACCCTGTGGCCGTGGGGAACAGCGGTTACTCGCACACGCGCTGCGCGCCCGGCCTCTGCCCCGCTGCTCTCCCCAGCCACACCAATGCAGCAGCTCCTCAGCTTGCCCTGGGACGGACACTGGGASCGTACAAGGAAGGAGATCTCTGTTTCTTAGCTTTGAAGGGGTGGCAGCAGCCACTGGTCCCCCCCACCCCTTTGGGCTTCAGATCCATCAGACTTGGGAAGGAAAGGGAAGCTTGAGAACACGGCTCAAGGGCAGCCCCTGCAGAGCCGCGCGCAGCAGCGCAGGGACGAGCCGGCAGCTGGAACAGGGCTCCTCTCCTAGGAGCAGATTCCTGCTGGGAGCACCTGGCTGTTTGTGCCCACAGCCACCCCTGTGGGCTGGGAGCAGGCCCCGGATCCGCTGCGTGTTCCCTGTGGGAATGGGGCACGGAGCTCCCTCACGGGCCCTGGCGGCAGACACCTGCCCTGGGGATGGGGATGCCCAGGGGCGAAAGGCAGGTCCTGCAGGCCGGCGGCAACAGCAGGGCCGGGGTGGGGAGAGCGGGGCTTGGCCTGCAGCGCGTGGGCCTCGCGCCGGCCTCGCGGAGCACGTGAGGCGGGAAGCCAGTGCTGGGGATGCAGCCGCTGGATGTGGCCCCTTCTGTGMGGGCCCGGGCCTGGGAAGCAGCTCTCAGTCCCTGGGCACAGCCCAGCCCACTAAACTGCCTCCGGAACCCCAGTTCTGCGGCGGGGCAGCCGGGGCAGCAGCGCTGCTGCTGASTGGGGCTGGCTCAAA